GCTATATTCATAAATACAGTTTTTTGAGCCTGCAAGGTGGGAATGTCCAGTGGAAACTAAATGAACTGCGACACAATGAGAGGTTCTGAAAGTGCTGTAATGTTTGTGTGATCACTGCTTACAGAAGGTTGTCACAGACCCAAATCACTATTGCTTTATTGCATTTTCCCATTTGCCAAATATCTTAATGTAGTGATCATTTCTGGCGTTATGGCATTCCTGCGCTGTGTCGGAGATATTAGCGTGTCTCTAATAAGATCAGTCACAAACATGATCACTGCACAATCTCATCTATAGCGTCTTATTAACTCACTGTCGTCATCTATTGTCTGCATCACATTTCTTCTCCCTCTTCATCGTTCTGTCATTTTCTCCTCTGCTAAAGAAACTCTTAAGCCTCTTAAAAGTCCTCATCCATACTCCTAACAATTTTGACCTTAAGACCTCTTTTAAGGGTTAAGATGCTTTCTGAATTACTTTTTTCTTTACTAGGATTTTTTCTTTATTTTTAAGAGTAAACGCCCACATTTCTAAGAATTTTCTTAGAATTTTGTCACTAGGAGCTACTTTTTACATTAAGATTCTTTAGGAATACGGGCCCTGATTTATTGTGAATAAAATTACCTTAAACCAAAAATGGCATGAAGGCATCTTATTTAATATCAATATCCATGCAATTGTCATTGAAACACTGGTATTTTGGGAACTGATAAGAGATTAATCACACCCGACATGATTATGTAATGTTATCATGTTACATTTTAGTAGTCCAGATTATAATCACACATTGTTATTAGGGCCCAAGCCCAAAGGGCGAAGGCCCTATTGTTTTCCTTAGGATTATTTATTATTATTATTATTATTATTATTATTATTATTATTATTATTTTTCTGCTACCTTTTGGACACTTTTGGAGGCCTTAACATGCTCAAAAACTCCTGAAACTTTGCACACATGTCAGAACCCGCGGCCATCAGGGCCGGGCTGAAGATGGTACCCGGGCGTGGCAGGGGGGCTCGACAGCGCCCCCTGGAACGGGGTCCGAAAACATGGTCCATAAATCAAACACGCTTGCATGTAATAATATGAAACTCGGTACACATGTAGATCTCCTCGTTTCATATATACTTCACACTCTTACTTTTTACCCCAGCCCAACAGGAAGTCGGCTATTTAGGGTTGTTGGTAAAACACACGCAATGGAATGTGAAATACTCCTCCTAGAGAATTCAAACAAACGGCACGAAACTCGGTCAGCATGAAGTCAAGACATTGAGGATGAAAGTTTGCGAGGGGATTTTTGATATCTCGAACGGTTTGGCCGTGGCGAGGAAACGAATTTATGGCGAGAAACAACAAACAAGAAGTGCGTTATAACTTCTGCATACATTAACTGATCTTGATGAAACTTCAGCAGTGTGATCGCTGTAAGAGGCCGATCACATGGATGTGACTATTGTGAGTCAAAGTTATAGCGCCACCAACTGGCAGCAGGAAGTGTGTCACTTTCTAAATGCTTTTGACAAAAGTGGGGGGGTTCGTTTTATCTACAGTAACAAAACTCGATATGTATATTGTACTCTTCGAGCCGGACAACTTTCTAATTTACCGTAATTAGCTACGACCAACAGGAAGTCAGATATTTTGGTTTGAATGTGGATTTCAGATTCTGAGTTTTTAGCTACTCCTCCTAAGTAGTTTATTTTATTCATGCCAAACTTTTTCAACATGATGAAAATACATTGAAGATGCTAAATTGTGAACAGATATTGAATATCTCAAACGGTTTTGCTATGGTTGAGGGATTCAAGTAATGTCAAAAAAAGAATCAGGGCATGTCTCATATCTTTCTAAAATGTAATTATACACCATTTATTTTTATATAAAATTATACAAATATTAGAACTAAACCCATTTTATTCCTTTTTTTCAATTTAAGAATTATTTTTAAGTTTAAAAACAGCCAGAATGGTTGTTTAGTCAAAAATAATAATAATCCAAATCATATATAGTGCTATACTGCCCTCTTGTGTTCAAAATCAGGTAGGCCTATTGAATTTATAAATATTTATATATTAGGGATGTTACTATGGGAATATTTTCCCACCGGTTAATCAACGTGTGATTGTGTAAACCAATTGTGTAAACCTCCCGCTGGGGGGTTTAAAAACACTAACTTGAAAGCGAAAGTATAATATGGACGTCCGCACAGACATTGAAATGGTGGCGCTCGAATGAATTCCTATGGAAGTAGAAATTAACTAAACGTTCGCTCTGTTCTGCTCGCTCGTCGCCATGGACGCGCACCATTATGAATGCCAGTGCAGCCGCATACTTTTTAGTGTCACTAAAATTAGTGCAATTTCGGGGGCCGATTGCTTGAATTGTGAGTTCAATAGTCTATTATTTTTCACGGAAAACACAACAATAAAAGAGTACAATGACAGATTCGCTTAAATAGGCGTTTTTACATAAAATAGCCTATTCCATCATCATCTTTTCAGTCAGCTCTTCACTCTCGTGATTAATGAAATTTGACTCCTGTTGCTGATATTTGCTGCAACTTTCGTTCAGCTCACAATTTAGTAAGCAAACACGTTTCAAATGTGTTTTTATTTTATTTTTGTGTATGTGTGTGTATATGTATGTATATATATAAATATAGCTTATGTTTCAAATATGAGTTAATTAACAATCGTTGGAAAGAATGATACTTTTAAACATAACACTAAACCGTCATTAGGTGTCGCCAGGCGACCGTCTTAATGAGCGAGTCATTGATTCATTCGTTTGAACGACTGAGTCATTCATGAATGAGATAGATGTTTATGGATTGATTGGTCATTGAATCTTTGAGTCAACCGATTCGTTCAAAATGCTGAATCATTCAGTAATGAGAACGCGTTGCTGTGAGATGCGCGATGGTTCTGCTGTGATCTTTGTTTAACTATTTTCGCTGCTGAAACAGAAAAAAAGTCAATATTGCATGTAAAATGTAAGTGATTTGACTTGTGTGTGTGTGTGTGTGTGTGATTGTGTGTGTGATTGTGTCTGTTACAGTGATAAGAGTTTAACCCTTGTTAAACTTTAGGCCTTGTCTTTTTGGATATATATCTTTTTATATTAAAAAATAGTCATACAACCCATATATTTTAAATGTATTGTTTGCTTTAAATTACATTAAGATTGTATGTTTGGTAATTGAACCTGAATGAATTTTAAATGAATGTGCTATATTTCAGATCATATATTTGTTTTCCTTAAAATTTGAACTAACACTAACTTTATTCTCATCTGAATGATAGATTATTTATTTCTGTATAAAATAAAAACACATTTGATTTTTCTTTTTTAATCAATGTAGAATGTGTAACTGAAAAAATAAACAGATTAGGGCTCTGTTTGATGACAAGAAATGAAAACCAATGCGATATGATGAATGTCCAAAAGATGGCTCCCACAGACTGTTTTTAAATAGGATTGTTTGATATTTTTTGCTTTTAAACTGTGTGTGTGTGTGTGTGTGTAAGAGATTTTGGTTGGGTGACAGTTGTAGTTTACAGTTTGACAAGAGTTTATAGCTTGACAAAAGCACAATGTTGTGTTTTATTGCAAGTGTACACAAATATAAGTAAACACTTTGCAGTTTGAATAATGTCCTGTATGAACAAAAGGACGGAGTATGTTTTTATGTCTACATTGTTCAATTACGCCACACACACACACACACACACAAACACACACACACACACACACACACACACACACACACACACACAAACACTATTTTTCTAATCAGATCAGGCAAGTAATATTCTGTCTTGTCTCTTAAAAAAACAATATATATATATTTATGTATATATATATATATATATACGTGTGTGTGTGTGTGTGTGTGTTTGTGTGTGTATATATATAAATATAGCTGCGAGCAGCGATGAAAGGGCCAAAGCCGGCGGCACCGCCACCCCGGTTATAGCGCCACCAACTGGCAGCAGGAAGTCTGTCACTTTCAAAAAGCTTTGAAATCACCTGATTGCTTCAAACTTCACTACTATGATGTAAACACACGGCAGATGTAGACCTGGATGTAGACCTGACCTTTCAGAAGGTTGCTCTCGCATACTTTGTGGTTGATATGTGCCCTCAATGCACACTTTTGCAGAGCCCACACTGATACAAGCTCTACAGCACACTTCTTTTCGACAGTCAAAGCAGGGTTACGTTTTTGCACGTCGTGCACAATAACCCTAAAGGCACCAGGGTGGCGGTGCCACCGGCTTTATATATATATATATATATATATATATATATATATATATATATATATATATATATATAAATATAGCTGCGAGCAGCGATGAAGGGCCAAAGCCGGTGGTACCGCCACCCCGGTGCCTTTAGGTAACTAAAGGCACCGGGGTTGCGGTGCCACCGGCTTGGGCCCGTAATCGCTGCTCGCAGCTATATTTATGTACTTGATATTGGTATTGTATTTTATTTAAGAGAAAGTTTGAATAGACATGGAAACTGGGAAGCCATGCGGTCGAGGGTCATAAGAATCACAACAATATGAACACTATGAAAAGTGGTAACAAGAAACAACAAGTCATTTTAAATTCAGTTTATTCAGTCATATCAGTTGCAGTGAAATTCATTCCATTCAGTTCATTTCAGTTAACTGAGTCACATCAATTGATTCAGTCATGCTTTTGATTAAGTGAAATTGAGTTAATTCAGTCACATTAAACTCATTTGATTCAGTCCTATTATAGCATTTTTGAGTTGAATAAAATCAGGCCATTTAAATCAATACACAGAAATCTCCAAAGAGCTGAAGGATGCTTCATACAGTAATGGTATCTGGCATTAGCGGTTTGATGATTGAGTCAGTCTGAGTGAGAGACTCACAGCTGGCTGCGCTGAGGAGAGAAAGACAAGAGAAGGGAAGGGGTGGACATTTGGGGGTGTTTCCTTTCCTCTCCTCCCTCTATCTCTCTCTCTCATTCTCTCTCTCTCAATGTGAGCCAGGAGCTCTGCGCAGAGAGCCGCTTTTCATTCAAACCTCCACAGAGAGCAAACGCGGGATGTTATACTGTATGTAGGCTATGTGAGCCGGAACAAAAGCGGAGTGAGACATAATGAGCGGGCGGGTTCTCAACGGGAAAATGCTGCAGCTCCAGGGTCAGAGAGCAGGACGGACAATACACTATCATCTCTCAAGGTAACGCGAACGTGTGCTGGACTACCTCTGAATCCCAACGCGATTTCTTTATTGTTTAATTGCGCGAGAGTTCAGCTGTGTCAGTGCGGTTTAAACTCTATTGACCAACTGGTTTAAATGTCAATGTAGCCTATAGGCTACAAATTCGGTCCAAAGAAACATTACTGTCAATAATTTTTGCATCAATTAAATTTAATGTGTAGCCCAATTTGTTTGCCTAATCGCTCCCGCGGGAGACCGTAATTAATTGATTTTTAAACAGCGCGTTTAATTTCTCACGGATACGCATGGGTGTGAGAGACATTCCTGTCTTTGTGTCCGCGAGTTGTGTTAAAGTGTGCAATGTGAATAGTTGCGTGTCACCGCTGGTTTGTGAGTGTGGCAGGCGGAGGCGTTGAATGTGAATGAATGGAGGTGTGTATCGGTGCAATGCGGAGGGGGGAACAGGCGGATATCTCGCGTCAGGAGGAAGTGTTCTCCTATTGTGTGATGACTGTTTGTGGATTGCCTGAAGCGGAGGTTATTCAAACTGTAGAGGACCTGCACTGTGTTGTTTTCTTTACATACGGTGTCTTGCTATAGTGTGCTGCATTCCTCACTGACCTACATAAGAGGATGCGAGTGGGGTGCTGCTGTGAGCCGGTGTTCCACACTTACACTAACTATGGTGACTGCGTCTCAAAACGTGAGCTGCCTATCTAGACAGAATTTTGTGGTGTTATAGATGTGTTCTAACGCCCTTTAGGGATTCATATTCAAAAGGGGGGCGTGTCTGCTGTCATATTAGTAGAGCATCATTATTTATTTTTTTACAAAGGGTTGGCCAATAACTAGAGGTAGCCTAGGCTTATGTGTTTTTTTTTTTTTTTTTTTATAAATCGTAGATTTAGCTACAAAGATAAAGGCTGTATATGAAACATTGTTTCACATGTTTCTTCAGTGAATATTTCCAAGGGTGGGCTACATTTATTAAGTTCATTTCTGTATTATCACATGGCCTACTTCAACGTCTTGACTACAAAAAAAAAAAAAAAACTACAACACAAAAACAACTATTGAACATGCTTTCAACATAAAGATACAGTTCTTTAAACACACATTGTCCCATAGCGGGATATCTTGGCACACAGCATAGGGTAAGTTGTCACAATGGATCCTGCTATTAAAAAAGCCTATTATAGACTTTTCAAAATAAAAACAGTAAAATAATTATACATCACAACAGATAACATATCAAAATGTCAAACCATTAATGTGATAATTTACATAAATATACATATAGCCTATATAGATTTATCAAATAAAACATAACAACTTCATTGAATTTTTTTAGGGGAATATATATATATATATATATATACTGTATATATATAATCATTTTAGTTGTATATAATATTTACTCAATGTTCAAATAACTATAATATTATATACATTTATTATTTTTCCATATATTTAATTATAAAATATATAATTTTATTTTTTAAATTTAATTGGAATTTATTAATATTAAAAGATTTGAAAACAGAGCTCTTCTTCTCATTCTTCTGTTAGTCAGCCTATTTCTGATCATCTCAAAATCATAATATTAGACAATTAAATGCCCTGGCCAATATATTTGGTTTATCTTTATTAATTACCTTAAAGCTCCAGTCCGTAACTTTTTTAAGTTAAAAATAATCCAAAATAATTATATTAAAAAAAACTTATTCTGCCAGTGGTCAAACCTATCTGCTTGCCATAGCTAGATTCAAAACGGTTAGCTTGTAATAATGATCTTAATTCCAGTGGTACTGGTGGGTTTCCGCGGGAAATTCAAGCATGTCTTTGCGTCATGACGTCACACCCGTACACATAAAGAAGGAGTTTCGGCTAGCCGGCTATACTGCGCGTGACGAGATGTTTAGATGTATAGGCTTTTCTCGCAGCACTTTACATAATTAAACTTATGGCATCCAGAAAGATCCAAACAACAATCATCAGTGTCAACTGGAGATTCAGCAGTTATAAAACCCAAAAGACTTCGTACTTCGGATTTAAGGTGGCTAGAGAAAGAGAAAGAAACCGTCTCATGCGAACACAAGGATTTAAACATCGGCGGGGCTTTTGAAAAGTGCTTGAACTCCGTGTTTTGAAGGGGTTCAAAACGGAAGAAGAGACGGCTTTTTTCTGCTGAACAAGTAAGACATTTCAATAGTTCAATCGTGTAACAGTACGTTTTCTTAATTCACACAGTTATGGAGTTTCCTTTGTTGTGCCTTTCTCGTTTTGCTATTATGGAGAATATGAATTTTGAACTACGCAGGTAACCATAAAACACATTAAATTTAACATTAGTCACGCAATGCTGATGTTGTTAACATGAACAATTTGAGAACAAAGTAGGCTATAATTTGCACGGTTGCTGTAAATCGCGTTGATTAAATCTAACGAAGCTTATCATGTCGAATGCTTTTTCCCCCTTAGTTGGTCAGAACAAAAATGGATTTTATTTACTTGTTCAGAAGACATTTTCTTATGAAAATTCTTATGTTGGTCAAACTTTCAAAAAGTGAATCTGTGATTCTGTATGACAGTATCCACACAGCGCGGTGACTGACAGCAGCACTCGCCTCAAAGCACTGTGTTCATCCGCGCTGTTTCATGCCGATTTACAACCCACGTAAAGATGATAATTCCGCGAATCACTGCAGTTACAGATTTCGAACAGAGAGATGGCGACAAAGAGGAAAAGATACGGACTGCAGCTTTAATTTTGTTCTTGTTTTGTTCTTAATTTTGTCAGTTTGACACATCAGGCCACAAGAAAGGAACTGAAATAAACATGACATTTTGACCCCATGTCCGCCCCTTCAGTCAGGATACAGCTATCACTTCTGCTAGCTGCAGTGCTCTTATGCTGCTTCACATGCTATTGGAAAAGTCCTACTTCCCACTTCTGAAGTTGTGATTACGAGCTTGTCCGATTCAAGTGCTTTGTTGCCAGAAGAACAGAAATCATAGAGGACACCAGGTTTATTCTTGCGTATTTATTGGGAAAATCTTGTTGAAGCCCAAATGATATTTAGCGTCCCATTCATTAACAAGCAGTTTGTGGCCCGCCCATCTCAGGAACTTGGGTATCAAAATCCCCAAGCTTCCCAGTGGCAAATAAGACAAATCCAATTTTCTAGAAAACTTATATTTACGATAATTCAAATAGAATGTGAAGGCAGCATTAACTAACTTAAAATCGGACCTCTCCCCATGAAGCTAACAGACGGTGCCCCCTCTTTCCCCGCTGCCCTTATTGATTTTGACCTTGAAATGCACAGCCCTGTTTTTGCTCTTTCTGGATGGCTGACCCCTTAAATCGACCCCTTATGTAAAGTCATTAGGAAACAAAGAGATCAAGCCGTCGGTGCTCTGTGCGTTTAGCCATTAATGCAGTGCACAAGTTTTCTTTGTGTCTTTGACAAAGACCAGTTTCTCAACTGGTCGGCCTTATCAATCATATCATGAGTGAGTCTCTCCAAAGTTGGCAGGTTCAACATCTTTATCTGTTTGTTTAAGTTGCTGGGCAGTTTAAAATCAAACAATGGTACTGCCAGAAGGTGATATATTGTCAGGCAGCTGGCAGAGAGTGTCATTTTTACAGGAATGAGAGGAATTATTGTTTCTGTTATGACTAGTTATTTTCGTTCTATGCAAAGCACCAGTCTGTTATAAGGTTTGCTTGGTCTGGACTTGTCAGTCTTGCCTGAGAAGTCAAACTAAACCTGTTTGACACAAACTGGCTTTGTGGGTGTTGGCCATGAGTCACTTAAGGTGTGTTCACACTTGTACTTCGGTTCGCTTGGTTCATTTGGTCCGGAACAAGAAAACAACAACATTTAGTCCTGGTCCACTAGCATTCACCTTGGCCGAACCTAAAGGCATAGGGACACGTTAACAACCTGATTGGTTGGCTTTTATGATGCATATTTCACAACAGAACAACATCCAAAACAATGCTGTGTTCTGGGTTAAATAGCTTGTTGTGTGTGTGTATCCTACATATGATGGTATTTTGACCAGCTGAGAACTCGTGAAAAGCTTATAAGTGTGTAAAGGAGTCAAAACCGTGGCAGGAATCCCTCCGTCACACACACACACAAACGAAAGTCAGCTGTGAGGAGAAGGTCAGCTGGTTCTGATGCCTGTACCGAACTGTGATGAGCAACATCACGAATATGACTAGAAAAATATGTTTTTGTTTTGTTTACATGTCTGGTCCATGTTGCAATCATTTTTAATTCGAACTGCACCAGTCCGCTTGTTTGGTGCACACCAGGGTTCGGATAGCGTTCACACTTATTCAAACAAACCGCACTAACAGAGCAATCGCACAAGGGTTCATTTTAATCGAACCACACATGCCAAGTGTGAACACACCCTTAAACCTGCTTAAATCAGGTCCTATTCTTGAGCCGTTGAGTTTTACTGCTGCCGTGGATGAGCTTCCTGCAGTGAACTGTTTGTAGCTACAGGGGGTGGGAAAGGATGTTCTACTCCATTAAAGCAAATACAGTTACTACAAAGCTTTTGTCCTGTCTGCTATTGATGCAGACAACATGCTGGTCTGACCATCTCCAACATCAGGATGAGAACAGCAGCCACAATATCCTGTTTTCAGGGGAATATTTGCTCTGACAGTGTTTTGCTAAATGATGGGATCATTTATTGTGCATCATGAAATCTTCCATTTGGCCACCATTTTGGGGTGATTTGATTTACATTGATTTTGATTATTTTTATGGTAAAATAAGCATCAATGCATTTTTACACCCGTGGTAACTACATACCATGTGTTGAGATGGAAGTCTAAATGTAGTGCAAGACATGTTGGGATGGCATCTGATTACTACGTATTTGTTCGTTTGTCACCCAGTTCTACCTTTAAAGTAGATTGGTGTATTAGTTTAGACTTAACAGGATTTTGAGTAGTTTTTAAAGGTACTTACCGTGATATCACACAGTAAATG